GTCCCCTGTGCCTACCCTTCCCTTCCCTTCCCTTCCCTTCCCTTCCACCACACTGGAATTACCAGCTGCAGGCAGCTGTATCAAAAATTGGATCAGTATCAGCTGATATGCCTCGTTAAATATTGGCTATCAGTATCAGCCCCAAAAATCCCTATCAGTGCACCCCTAATAGTACTGCTTTACTTTGGGCTCTACAAATCTCTTTCTTTGCCTTAAAGCAGTTGAAAGACAGTGAGAGAGGACTTTCCTCTCTCATTTCAGTGATTCAGGACTACACTGGACAACTGCAAACTGTGAAAGACATCCACAGCACAACCCTGATACCGTGCATGACCCTATAACTGACTCTACAACTGAAACAGCATAGATGGAGAGAGAGCAAGTGTTTCTCCACTAACGTCATGGCAGATCCTTGGCTTGTGCTTTTGGCATCATTCTGTTGATGCCAATGACCCGCATAATCTCAACACACACATTTGTGCACACCCCCCCACCCATACACACTACTTATAAACAGCGTAAAGCATGCAAAACTTGGAGCTTCCACATGTTCGGTCAAGGGAAAACACCAGTATTTAAGGTCAAGGTAGGACACCAGCAGCCCCACAACAATGTCAACAGAGCTATGCCAATGGCCACTGGCTCAGTCAAAAGCCAGGGACACCCTTCACCTAAATTTCATTCACTTCCAGGAAACCTCTTTTGTCCTGCCTGTGCTTCCTTACCTCCTTCCCTCCATCTTCCACAACAAAGAAGGGGTTGGTCCCATCAGACACAGTGAAGGTGAAACGGTCTTTCAGAGAGTTGCTGCCATCGTGGCTGTAACTGATCCGGTTCTGGAAGATGTCATCCATGGTGAAGGAGGTGGTCTGGCGATAGCGCTGACCATTGTGGGTGCGTTCAACCACGCCATGCCGGGGGGGCTGCACGATGGTGAACGTAACCAATTCAGCCTGCTCAAAGGAAAGAGATAGGAGGGCAGGGTTGTGAAGCTGGTGCTGTTTCTTTTAGTTGGAGAGGCAGGTCACTCCACTCAGTAGGTCCAGAGAGGGATGCTACTGTTCATGACCTCATTACTAGGCAGCCTCCCTGGTACAAAACTTCAAATGAAGCAGGAAGAAATGGTTAGACAGCTCAGCATGGCTGGACACTGGTGCTCAACACACCCATTTCCCACTGTCACTGTCTCCAGGTTGACACCAATACTGATCACATGGGAGCCAATCCAGCTGCACTAGACAACAGGGTCACCTAGCATGACATGCTGCCTCTCTACTTCATGAAGCAGCAGCTTGTGAGTGCACTCCTTCTTTCCCTGGCTTAGTGAGAAGCATAGGTGCTGTCTCTTCTGTCAGCAAAATACTGCAAAATACTGTTCCCATAACTACAGTCAAATCCGTGGTTATGAGATCTGGTAAGCAATGGTATATTGGGGGCAAGAATAATTACCCTTTGTGCCTTGCAAGGTGCTGGGTAAAGCCTGCATAGCCAGCTCTATTACTGCTTCCTGCTCCCCTCTTGGAGAAATGCTCTGAGGTTACACATCACAGCATAAACCAGTTACAGCAGCTCTATGAATGTTAAAACTTTTCCCATGGATTTATTTAGCTGCCAGTCAGATTCAGAATAAGGTGGTAAGGAAAGGTGACTTGAGTCTCGAGCTTGAGCTCAGAGCCATTGGTCCTGAGCCTGGGACATTTAGAGAGAAGATGGGACCATGCTGGAAGGAGAAAGAGTTAGATCTAATCACTGCACCTTTCCCCCTCCCCCTGCCATGTAGGCAGGAGACAAGAAGCATTATGTTTCTCAAGCCAAGCTCTTTCTTCTTTCAAATGCTGACTCCCTATGTTTACACACACACACACACACACAC